AGGATGAATACCCAACTTTTACATCAACATAGATGGGACTGGAGGAGATTATGTTAAGTGAAATAAGTCAAGCAGAGAAAGTCAATTATCATGTGGTTTCACTTATTTGTGGAACATAAGGAATAGCATGGAGGACATTAGGAGAAGGAAGGGAAAAATGAAGGGGGGGGGATCAGAGAGGGAGACGAACCATGAGAGACTATGGACTCTAAGAAACAAACTGAGGGTTTTAAAGGGGAGGAGGGTGGAGGGATGGGTTAGCCCAGTGATGGGTATTAAGGAGGGCATGTATTGCTTGGAGTGCTGGGTGTTATATGCAAACAATGAATTATGGAACACTACATAAAAAACTAATGATGCACTGTATGGTGACTAACATAACATTAAAAAAAAAAAAAAGATCATCTGCCCCAAGCAAGGCAAGGGAAACAAAAGCAAAAATAAACTCTTGGGACTTCTTCAAAATAAAAAGCTTCTGCACAGCGAAGGAAACAATCAACAAAACTAAAAGGCAAACTTTGGAATGGGAGAAGATATTTGCAAATGACATATCTGATAAGGGGTTAGTTTTATAAAGAACTTATAAAACACAACATCCAGAAAACAAATAATCCAGTTGAAAAATGGGCAGAAGACATGAATAGACATTTTTCCAAAGAAGGCATACAGATGACTAACAGACACATGAAAAGATGTTCAACATCACTCATCATCAGGGAAATACAAATCAAAACCATGATGAGATATCACCTCACACCTGTCAGAATGGCTAAAATTAACAACACAGGAAACAACAGTTGTTGGCAAGGATTCGGAGAAAGAGGAACCCTCTTACACTGTTGGTGGGAATGCAAACTGGTGCAGCCATTGTGGAAAACAGTATGGAGCTTCCTCAAAAAGTTAAAAATAGAACTACCCTATGATCCAGCAATTGCACTACTATGTATTTACCCAAAGGATATAAAAATACTGATTCGAAGGGATACACACATAGCAGCATTATCAACATTAGTCAAACTATGGAAAGAGCCCAAATATCCATCAACTGATGAATGGATAAAGATGTAAGATGTGGGATGGATTATATATTTATAATGGAATATTACCTAGCCATAAAAAAGAATGAAATATTACCTTTTACAATGACATGGGTAGAGCTAGAGTGTATTATGCTAAATGAAATAAATCTGTCAGGGAAAGACAAATACCATATGATTTCACTCACATGTGGAATTTAAGAAACAAAACAGATGAACATAGGGGAAAAAAGAAAAAAGAAGGGCAAATATAGAACAGACTCTAAACTATAGAGAACAAACTGAGGGTTCCTGGAGGGAAGGTGGGTGGAGGGATGGGTTAAATGGGTGGTGGGTATTAAGGAGGGCACTTGTGATGAGCACTAGGTGTTGTATGTAAGTGATGAATCACTAACTTCTATACGTGAAACTAATATTACACCGTATGTTAACTAACTGGAATTTAAATAAGAACTTGAGAAAAAAATTACTATCTGGTCCTTTCACAGAAAAAGTTTGCCAACTCATAGGACAGAGAAAGGTTAGGGACTATTTTAAATAGGGCAATCATAAAACACTTCTCAAGGGAAATAGTGTTCAAGGCAACAATCATCTGCCACTTTCAAGTGCTGCCTTTTCAGACCATCACATGGACACAGAGCATGCATCAGCCTGTTCCTTTTAAGGAAGCATGCCAAGGGATTCTTGTTTGAACCTCAGCATGTCACAAAGTACCCACCAACTGTGTCCCCCAAATTGCCTGGTTAGTGGAACCCACGTAGAGTCCCCCCTGCCTTGAAGGCTTTGTAAGTTGGCCCAGTCACCTAGAAATGAGACAACAGTGCCTAGGATTTGGAAGTCAGGAGAATCCATCTCAAACACAGTACCTCCTATGGTTCCTTTGAAAGCATCAGTACAGTTGATATCCATAGTGTTATTTCCAGCTTCCAGAACAGTCTTCTCACTTCTCTCATTGCACCTCTTGATTTCATAGACTGGAAACATTAAGAAAGTGAGTCCTGCTTTGCTCGCTTCTCATGCATAAGAAATTTGTTGAAGAACTCTGTTCTTTGAAAGGCCCCCTACTGGTGATTTCCTTTTCTGTATGCAAGGTAGACCAGATGGCATTCCCTTCCACACCTCTGGCTGATAGGGATGAGATGGTCAAAATGGTCTAAGCAGCATCCACTGGCCACAGCAACCCAGGAGAAGAGAGGGGATGGCCATGTTTCATGGAGCTGCAACCAGCGTAGGCAAGCTTAGCTTTTACATATAATATTTAAAGATAAAAAAAATTTTTAAATAATGTATACTGGAGTACCTGGTGAGGGGGTAACTAAGTTTTTAAGCAAGAGAAGCTAAACATTTAAAAGTTTTCCAAGGACAGTCACCTGGGAGCAGGTCTGCATTTGGGAAGAACTCCTTGAATGAATTCTCCATGTCACATAAACATATAAACACAAGGTCTGACAAAAGATTACCCTCATAAAATGTTTTGGTCATAAGGAAAGTGCTCTATGTTTCTTACCTATACCAAGTGTAGAATTATCATGCTTTCCTGGAGAAGCTAAATCTTCAGTCCATATGATCACTTCCATTTTTTGAAATATTTGGGTAGCCATTTTTGCAATGTGCTCTTTGCTTCTGTTGTTCCTCAGAATTTCCTTTCAAAGAAATAAAGCTAATTAGGTAGGCTCTTCCTGAAACTTGAGCAGGAATATACTTGTGTGTGGTTGGGTGAGCCCTGAAGACAATAACATTGATTAAGGTATAGGTTCTGCACTCTCAACCTGATATGTATCTTCTCATTGACCACACACAGCCCTGTGAAAGGTGTATCATTCACTCCATTGTATTTATGGGAACATGAGGACCTAAAGGATGAGGTGTCTGGAACCCATTAAGAGTGCCTTACACCCCCAGATTGAAAGTGAGGGGGTGGAAAACCATTTACCATGCTAATGGACACCAAAAGAAAGCTGGGGTGGCAATCCTTATATCAGACAAATTAGA